GAGAGACATCTGGTTATCTGATCTGACCCCCACCCTTCTCGTGACTTGCAACTTGGGGCACCTGTATCCGAGTTCCTTGCTCAGGGGCAGAAAAACAAGTTATTTTGCAATGCTGGTTCCTGTAAAGAGGATCTGAAAAGGCTATGTAGACCTGTTTCTCACATTCTTAATCTAGGAAAGACAAGTTGGTCAGCGTTCATCTGGTTCAGGGCCTCATTCCTCACAGATTTTATCTAAAATTATATCACCTGAATCTCTGATCCATGCATTCATCTACTTAAACAGGCTATTGGGTGTGGCAAACACCTTATTCCTCTGCTCAGAGAGAGAAGAAATGGTGGCAGTGATTCAATTAAGTATTGTTTCTGATAGCCAGTATGTGGTCAGATTAGTGCAAGATATAGAAACTATTAAACTTTAGAGTCCCTGAAGAAACTGATTAACTCTAAAGGTATTGAAAAAATCGCCAATTACTTGCACCTTTATCAAAGATTAGATGAGCATATGATTGAGGAGAGATGTCAGTGTATTCAACCCTGTTCCATTGGTCTGCAGTTCTGCCTTTGTTCCAGTACCATGCTGTTTTAATTATTACTGCTTTGTAGTACCGTTTGAAGTTCGGGAGGTTGATTCCTCCCATTTTCTTTTTCCCAAGAATTGCTTTAGCTATTCGTGGGGGCTTATTGTTCCATATAAATTTCAAGAGTGTTTGCTCCATTTCTTTGAAGAATGTCATGGGTATCCTTATAGGGATTGCATTGAATTTATACAATGCTTTCGGTAGTATTGCCATTTTGACAATGTTAAGTCTCCCGACCCATGAGCAGGGGATATCTTTCCATTTCCTCATGTCCTCTTTTATTTCCTGAAGTAGCGTTTTGTAGTTTTCTTTGTACAGGTCCTTTACTTCCTTAGTTAAGCTGATTCCTAGGTACTTGATTTTCTGGGGCACAATTGTGAATGGGATTGTTTTTTTCATGTTGCTTTCTTCTCTCTCACTGTTTGCGTATAGGAAAGCCATGGACTTTTGGGTATTGATTTTATAACCTGCAACTTTACTATACGAGTCTATTAGGCTCAGAACTCTGCCTAACACCATGTACAAAAGTAAGATCAAAATGGATTAAAGACCTCAACATCAGACCAGAAACCATAAGGTACATTGAAGATAAAGTTGGCAAAACCCTCCATGACATTGAAGCTAATGGTATCTTCAAAGATGCCACGCCACTGGCCGAGCAAGTGAAAGCAGAGATAGATAAATGGGACTATCTTAAACTAAGAAGCTTCTGCACCTCCAAAGAAACAGTGACCAAAATACAAAGACAGTCTACAGAATGGGAAAGGATATTCACCGAATACACATCTGACAAGGGGTTGATATCCAGGATATACAAAATACTGGTTAAACTCCACAAGAAGAAAACATCCAACCCCATCCAAAAATGGGGCAATGAAATGAACAGAAACTTTCTCAAAGAAGAAATCCGAATGGCAAAAAAGCACATGAGAAAATGCTCTACATCATTAATCATCAGGGAGATGCAGATCAAAACCACAATGAGATACCATCTCACACCTCAGAGACTGGCCCACATTCAAAAGAACAAAAGCAACCGATGCTGGCGTGGATGTGGCGAGAAAGGGACACTCCTTCACTGTTGGTGGGAATGTCCACTGGTTCAGCCCTTCTGGAAAACAGTATGGACGATTCTCAAAAAATTAGAAATTGAGCTCCCATTTGACCCAGCAATACCACTCCTGGGAATATATCCCAGAGAGGCAAAAATGTATAGTCGAAGTGACATCTGCACTTGTTTGTTCATTGCAGCACTCTTTACAATAGCCAGAAACTGGAAGAAACCTGAATGCCCAAGAACAGATGAATGGTTAAAGAAACTTTGGTACATCTACACAATGGAGTACTATGTAGCTCTTAGAAAAGATGAACTCATGAAATTTACATACAAGTGGTACAATATGGAAAGTATCATGCTAAGCGAAATGAGTCAGAAAGAGAGGGATAGACATAGAAAGATTGCATTCATCTGGGGGATATAAAGTAACAAAGTATGAGATTAATACCCAAGAATAGCTGAGATCAGCACCAGGAGGATTACTCCATAACTTAGAGGCCAGCCGGGTATCCTAGAGGAAAGGGCTGTTCAGATAGAGAAGGGAGCACCAAATAAAGGATGTTTGGAGGATCCTCCCAGGAGGGGAGATGCATGTCGAAAGTAGACTATGGACTGAACATGTTTGCCACTCAATGCCTCTTTTGCAGACCACAACACCCAAAAGGAGAGAGAGAACACAGGGGATTGCCCTGCCACAGAGACAGGGGGGATGGGGGGATGGGGGTGGGAGGGATATTATCCATGGTGGTGGAAAATGGGCACTGGTGGAGGGATGGGTATCTGATCGTTGTATAATTGAAACCAAAGCACAAAAAATTGTAAATCTACAACTTTAAAAAAAATAAAATAAAATAAAATAAAGGGAAAAAAAAGAAAAAAAAAAGAAAGATTTGTTGCAATAAATAAAGAAATATATCATTCTCTTTAAAAAAAAAAAATCGCCAAGTTAAAGTACTCATTATGCTTTAAAGCCCAGTTGCAAAAACATGACAGGGAGGCGAACAGGAGTCACCTAGGCAACATATACTTTTATAGTCTTATTAACCCTATTTTTTTCCTGATCATTTGTATCACTTGTCATCCAGTTTTTCCAATTGATTGGAGCTCTTTTTTTTTGCCTGTGCAAACAAAAAATTAATTAAATGGGGACTGGAGTGATAGCACAGCGGGTAAAGTGTTTCCTGTGCATGCGACTGACCCAGGTTCAATTCCCAGCATCCCATATGGCCCCCGAGCACCACCAGGAGTAATTCCTGAGTTCATGAGCCAGGAGTAACCCCTGTGCATTGCCAAGACTCAGAGACTATAAAAACCAGCTCCCGGAAGAGTACAGTGCAGTCTCCTGCCCCCGCGCTTGACTGTCCTCGCTGGGACCCCTTGGAGGGGAGCGGGTTGAGCTTTCCTCCCCGCCCCGACCAGGGCTCCGGCAGCCGAAGACCTCCAGGACCAGCCACCACCATGCTGAGACCACTCTCCGCACACATGAAGGTACTGGCAGCGGGACAAAGTCACGCGGGTTCCGGGGCCGAGATCTCCAAGCCTACTCGGATTGGGGCCGAGCAGCCTCCACCCAGATCCTCCAAATTCCAGTAGGCGGGGGTCACACCCACCAACTGGCCCCCTGGTGCCATGTAATTCCATCAGCGGCCAAGACTCAGAGACTATAAAAACCAGCTCCCAGAACCGCGCGGCCGCATTCAACATCTTATTATGACATCTTAGTATCTCATTCCTACTTTGGACAAACTGGCAGGCTACCGAATGTAGCCTGCCCACATGGCAGGGTCTGGCAAACTCCCTGTGTCATATCCAATATGCCAAATACCAGTAACAATGATGGGTCTCATTCTCCTAAAGAGCCTTGAATATATCAGGGCTATCTCAGGGCTAGGATGAAGGAGACGTTACTGGGGCCTGCTCAAGGCAATCGACGAATAACAGGATGATTTGTGATTTGTGATAATGTAGGAGTACTACTATTTATTCAGCCATTGATTAAGCTGATTGAATTGGGCATGAACTCCACGTTACAATTTTATTCAGAATGTTAATTTATTTTATTATTCTTCCCCCCCTTTTTATTAATTCACCATTACAAAGATACAGTTACAAAGCTTTCATGTTTTAGTTTTAGTCATACAATCATCAAACACCCATCCCTTCACCAGTGCACATTTTCCACCACCAAAATCCTCAGTATCCCCCCCCAGGGTCTCCCCACTTCCAACCCTTCTTCTGCCTGTGTGGCAATTTCCCCCATACTCTCTACTTTGGTTACATTCGATATTTCAATACCAGTCCCACAACCACTCAAACCTGCTGAAAAGGCAATGCTAGACAATTTATTTTGTATTGCTTGTTATGGATAGAATATAATGTCCAGGAAATTCTGTACCATTCTCTTCTGGGAGTTTTAGTTTATAGTCTCTGGGTCTTGGCCATTGATGAGACTACATGGCATGGGGGTGCGGAGGTAGTTTGTGGGTATGGCCGACAAGCTACTGGAAAACTGGGGACCTGGGGGGCGGAGGCCCAGTCCCAATCTGAGCAGGCTTGGAGATCTCAGTCACAGGTTCCCGCATATCTGGGTTTTCCTGCCAGTCCACTCTTGGATGAGGTTCGGGGATTGTCTCTATTTTTACAAAAATAAAATAAAATTTATGAATCCCTGTCACTGACTATATTGAGGCAATGCACCAAAGAAAAAAAGAGTTCTGAGGCCAGGGAGCTGGCTCTAAGGACTGGAGGTTCAGACTTAGCTTCCGGGGAAAGTATCGGCAGCCCTCTCAGTCCCCAGCACTGCTGGACCCAAGGAGATTCCCTTCCCTTTCAAAAATACATTATCAAGGCTGGAGCCATAGTACCGTGGGTAGGATGTTTGCCTTGCACGTGGATGACCCAGGTTCGATTCTCAGCATCCCATATGGTCCCCTGTGCACCACCAGGAGTAATTCCTGAGTGCAGAGCCAAGAGTAACCCTTGTGCATCGCCAGGTGTGACCCCCCCCCCAAATAATAACAATAATAAAGTAAGTTTTCTAGACTATGGTGGATTAGAAATGGGAATATCGGAGTTGTCTTTATTTGTCATTCAGCAAATTGCTTACAAAAAGTCAACTCTAGGAGCCAGGCAGGATATCTTGGTAGTTGAGCAGTCTTTGCAGCTCAAGTCCAGCTTCATTTCCAGCAAAGCTGTGAGAACCTCCAAGCATAGAGGCAAGAATACCTTGCATCTACTCCCCATATAAGCAAAAGCCTAAACACAAAAATGAAAAGGTCAGAACCGTGGTTGAAACTTGCTACTGAGCCTTAACGGAGGGGCCAGGCCCTCGGAGAAGAAACCGTTGTCTGGGGAAGGGCCGGGTGTTCCAGAGCGCTAAGGTTACCACCAGGTGAAGAGGAAGGTGTAGAAGTGCTCGCCCGCCTTGCCCCGCGCCGCCGTGGGCCACGAGGAGGCCTCGTAGGACGCGCGGTAGCCCCGCGCCTGCACGTCCAGGAGCACGCAGTCCAGGAGGTCGCGGACGCCCGCGGACGCCTCCCAGGGCCCGAAAGTGACAACGGAGCCGCGCTCCCGCAGCGCGCGCAGGCCGGCGGCGCAGCGCTGCGCGTCCTCGTCGGAGCGCACGGCGCACACGGGCACGCGCGAGCAGCGCGCCGCCACCGCGTCGGCGCGCGCCAGGCGCACCAGCAGCTCCAGGCTCTCGCTGTATCCGGGCACGCGCAGCGCCAGCTGCCCGCGACCCACGCGCTCGCCGAACAGCTCGGGCGTGTCGTCCAGCAGCTGCACAAGCGCGTCCAGCCGGTAGAACACTGCCTCTCGCCGCACGGCCGCAAGCTGCTGCGAGGGTAGCGCGCCGCAGCGCAGGTAGTCCAGGATGGGCCCGAAGCAGGCGCCCGGCCGGTCGATGAAGAAGCAGCCCTGCGCGTCCAGCAGCGCGGCGCGGGGGTCGCGCAGCATCTCCGCCAGCCGCGAGCCGGGGTGCCGGGTCAGGGTGTCGGCCGTGGTGGTGTAGCGCACGCCCCCCACGTTCAGCTGCACCAGGCGGGGCGGCGCCGGCTGCGGGTACAGAGGACGGACAGTGAAGCGCGCGGCCGCGGCAGGGGTGTCCCGGCAAGGGGCGTGTTAGACCACCTGCAGAGCGCGCGCTTTCAGGAAGAGAGGGGTTTCATTTGGCTCAGGACTTTCTGTTCAAACCATTGAGCTTTCTCATACACGTTGTAGGATATTCTACAGGAGGGGGCTGTGGGTTTTCCTCCCTCATCCTCAGGTTCCTCACTGAGGACAGAGGAATTGAAGCTCTAAAGACAGGAGTTACCAGGCGGGCTCCTCAGACCCAAGAATTAGAAAGAATTGTTTAGAATATATTTTTAATGTAAGAAGAAGGGGGTGAGGAGCAAACCATTTTCAACTTTCAGAGACACTAAAGAAGCCCGTGTATTGATTCAAGATGCACTTTGGGGTTGGTAGCCAGGAGTTGTGGATGAAAATTATTTCAGGTGCATTTGAAGCTCTCATTCACAAATGACATTCAGTAAGTGCAATTTAGTCCATAGGTTTTTCGTCACACAGTGATTCAATAAGGTAAAAGATAAAGGTAAAGGCCCTCCTGTTGTTCGTCGATTTGCTCAAGCGGGCCCAATAACGTCTCCATTGGAGACTTTGTTGTTACTGTGTTTGGCATATCGAATACGCCACGGGGAGCTTGCCAGGCTCTGCCATGCGGGAATAATCAGGAATTTTCTTGGGGATGAAAAGGCCAGATACAGGTGTAAAAAGCCTTATAAGCTGTGGTGCAGACATTATACAGATACTTTAAAGAGCTCTTCTGTGCTGCACCTGGGACTGAAAACTAAGGATACAGGTCAATCCCACTGGTACCTGCCTGGAACTGCCCACAGGCCACAGGAACTTGGAAACAGAATTGAGAAAGGAGGGAGTAAGGCTCTGCCTTGCACATGGCCCACACACATTTGATCCCTGGGCCTACACAGATACCAGAGTACTGCCAGGAGTGATACCAGAGCACCACTAGTTGTGGCCCAAAAACAAAAAGGAATTGGGAAAGCTGAGTGCTGCCACAACGCCTAACAGAAACGCCTGAAGGCTACATAATAATTATTACTGTGTAGTGGAAAGCCAGCTATTATCCTTACAGACCAGCTTTCTGAATAACTCTTACTCCATAAAACTCAATTGGTCAACAAAACATATAGGTGTCTGTAGGATAACACTGTTCTGTCCTTCCTGCATAACCTCAGAAATAGTTGATAGTTTATTGGACTGAGGAAAAGAGAAAAACACCTTAAGAGGTATCTTGCCCTTGAGCATTCAGGAAGGGCTTTCTTATGTTGATTTGGCTACTTGACTGGGTGGAGTGTCAGCCAGACTAGAAGGGAGCTGGCGAAGGAGAGAGCAGGGCTGAAAGATGGACTACCGAGAGACTAGCAAGGGGAACATGTGCTTGAGAGAACCTAGGCCCTCCACAACATAAGTTCTTCTATGGGATAAACTTCCCTGTAATAAACTGCCACTAAGATCAACCGGCCTGGCCCTCGTCTCTTCCTTCATCTGCCCTTGGCCAACAGCCGTCCCGATGCAGGCCATACACAGCGGCTCTAGGGCACCGAACGCGGGCGGTGAGATAGAGCCGTCCAGAGAGCCCGCGAACACACAACCTTCTGCGTGCATAGATTTTTACAGGTGTCCACTTTGCACAGAGTACCTGGAACACCTGGAGAGTGAGGGACATGTCCATAGACTGTGCTAAACTGTCAGCATACAGCCTCTCACACAATTTTCACAGAAATCCCAAAATACTGAATTAAAATCCTCATTTTATGCATGAAGTAACTAAGGCGTAAGGAGCTGAAGTAAATTCGAGGGCTGGAAAGATTGCTCAAAGAGCTAATCACGTGTTTTCATGTGAGTGCCTGGGTTTGATCCCCAGCGCTGCGTAGTCTCACCAGGATTAATGCAGAGCACCATCAGATGCATCCTATACCCCTCCTCCCAAAGGAAAAGACTGACATATGGGATGGGATTGGCTCAGCGGTAGAGCAATTGCCTTGCATGTGCGGCCCTGGAGTTTGCTTCTCGCTCCATACGGTCCCTTGAGCACCTCCAGGAGCAACCTCTGAGCACCAAGTTGGGAGTACCTTCCCCTCATCAAAGGGAGTTGGGCTGAAGAAAGAGGACAGAGGCTGATGCTCTTCCCTTGGGACAGCCAGTCCCTGTCTTATACCCTGGCACTGCCTTTGGTCCTGAGCATTGTTAGGGGCCATTCCTGAGCCAGAGCCAGAAATAGTCCCTGAACACTTCTAGGTGTGGCCCCCAAACAAAACAACCTAGAAGTAAAGTAAGTTGACTTAGATGTTATTAGTGATGATGTTGGGATTAGAACCTGGGTCCCAAGTCTATGCTGAATCATTATTATATTTGTTTTCAACTTCCAACTTTTCATTCCCTTAGTTGTTCATTTACTCAAGAGCATCTAGGGAGGGACCAGATCATTAGCACAGCAGGGAGGATGCTCACCTTGCATGCTGCCAACCAAGGTTTGATCCCCAGAACTGCAGATGGTTTCCCAAGCCCCGCCACGTGTGATCCCTGAGTGCAGCATGGGGAATAAGCCCTGAGCACTGCGGGGTATGACCCCCAAAATAGAAGAGCATATAGAGAGACCCTCATCTGTCCTGAGCAGATGCAGCAGTGCAGCACCTGCCCTGAGGAAGCACAGAAAATGGCAACACAGGGCGTAAAGAACATGCACAGGAGGGAGCGGGAAAGTAGCAGTGAGTCTGAGGCTGTTGGAGATGGTCCTCATAGAGACAGGGCAAGTGCTGTCACAGAAAAGCTCTGTGGATGTTGTCCACGCGGTGATTCTCCCGCCTTTCTCGAGCTCAGGCTTGAGAAATCCCTGTGGTCTGATCCAGTGTGGTCTGCACACTCACCTGCTCCCACCCGCCACTCAGTGACAGTGGCGGGGTTCAGAGTTCAAACACAAAGGTAGCTGACTACTGGAGGAGTGAGCACAGTTCCTGCCCAGGACTGCAGTGGCAGAGTGGACAAGGCAGGAGGGTAAATTCCCAAGCATACCATTCCTACTACGGCTAGGCTGTGCAGCCATGGGGCACCAGCCTGGCACCTGTGGCTCCCAGGGGTGGCAAGTGTGGTTAATCCTTAGTGTCTGTGAAGCAAACAGTTGAGTGTGAGACTGGCTCCTGCAGATGGATGATGGGTGTGTGTGGGTAAATAGACAGATGGATGGACAAGTGCATGGACGGGTGGATGGGGTTGTCTCTCCTTTTGCAGGAAGCTCTCAGGCACCCATCATGTCCCCTCCCCTGTTCCAGTTTAGGGAAATCCGAAGGAGGGGCGCACACTTGGGAAGCTCTGAATTGGGAACTGGGCTCAGACCCTGCCAGGGTAATGGGAGTGCTGTGGGGTGTCACCTTAGCCCTCATGATGCCCTCCTCTGTGCTAAGACACATCATCTAGGAAACAAGGGAGATAATCCGGCAGAGAACACTTGGTCTCTCCAGCTTGAGTCTCATATTGTTGGTTGTCTCAAAAAATCTTTCTGAAGCTCCTTCCAGCGGCTGCTCAGAAGACCACCCTGTCCTGCTTCCTTTTGAATACAAGCCCAGTCCTGTCTCCAAGTGTCTGCCTCTCTCTCTCCTTCCCCAAATTCCAAGTATCCAAAGGTTTCAAATCTCTGGCTTCATTCATAACTACCATAGGATTAGCAGGCAAAGGCCTCTCTGCACCCTCTTTGGGCCACCTGCCCTTCCTGAGGCCTGTCTCCTTCGCACTCTACTGACCTTCCTAGAGCAGGGAGCCAGCTCAACGAGTGCACCAGCTGGGGAAATGCAATGTTCAGCCAAAACTAGCAATGACCACACTGGGAAACCTGACAGGACACCACTCACCTCTCAGTCAAGAGACCCTAGCAAATCCAAAAACCATACCCACCCACTGCCTTGTCAGTCCTTGGAGGACATGACCACTGACATACCCACCACCAAGCCCTCCAACTCTCCCTCCCCAGAACCCTCTGCTGTCCTAATGAGAACAGGCTAGGAGAAGCATTCTGCTCCCAGAATCCACTTCTACATGCATGCATGCGCACACACACGCGCGAATCATTCACAGGTCTGGAAGATTCTGAATCCATAGCTGCCTGTTCCCTCCACTGCCTTCCCTGATTCCATCTCATCTCTGAAACTAGAGCTACCATCTCATCTGGCAATGCCCTCTGTTGCACCCTTTCCAAATAAACTGTAGACTCCCAGAGATATTTACAAGGCCCTGGGCAACCCAGCTGGCAAACAGCCAAAGCGTCATACTACCCTAGCCCCCTCAACCACCGCATACACACTCATGCACATGCAATCACACCCATGCACATGTTCACATACACACATGCATACACACACTCAGCTACACACACTCACACACTGAACACTCACACAGTCTTATATATACATTTGCACACTCACACCTCTCACACACACTTGCCCCTAGATTGCAGCCCCCCTGCTCCCAGGCCCCTCGCCCTTGGGTAGCCTTCACTCAACGGCTCATTCCAAATCCATTCCTCTAGGAATCTTTCTAGATGAATTGAAGCCTCTTTACTTCCACAGGGTCTTTCCTTAAGCTGCTCTCCTGTCATTCCACTGGTTGCTAATCCAACAGCCCCGACACAGGGCTCAAGACGCCAGCTGCCGCCCCGTCTTTAGGCGCGGAAAAGACAGGTGACTGGAGGTAGGTACGCACAGGTAAGCCCCAGCAGAATTTCACCCGTGCCGGGCTCGGTGCAGTCCTTGCACACCACAAAAAAGCAAAACCCGAACAATTTTGCATCATCACACATACACACAAATACTAATACTAAATAGGGTGAGAGATAGTGCAGGGGTTGCCTTGCTTGCAGCCAACCTGGGTTCAATCCCCAGCACTACAGAGGGGGGCTCCTGATCCCCACCAGGTGTGAGTCCTGATCGCAACGGAGTTGGCCCAAGCACCTCGCCCTACACCAGAGGACCCAGCACCTGTGAGCGGGCTCCAGAGGGCGGTGTCTGGCTCCAGGGCGCTGCACCCTCCCCTAGGACTGGAGCCTGGAACTCTGGGGCTCGGGTTCTCCCTGTCGCTCTGCGGCCCCTCGTGGGGGGCCCACGTGCAGGGGGCGCAGGAGAGACCTGACTAAGGGGAGCACACAGAGCCGCGGGCTCAGGCGCCAGCCGGCAGGTACGCGGCGACGTGGCAAGACGGGCGGGGCCCAGCGCGGGACTGGGACGTGGCACCCCCGGAGCACCCCGCCAAGGGAAGAGGGCGTACGCCGTGCGGCAGGGAGAGGCCGGGGGGTCCGGGAGACGCTACGGGGGCGGGGACGGGGCGGGGACGCGGGAGTCGCTCTGGGGGGTGGGCGCGGGGCAGGGGTCCGGGAGACACTCCGGGGGACGGGCGCGGGGCCGGGTCCCGGAGGCGGTCCGTGGGGCGGGCGCGGGGCGGGGGTCCGGGGCGGGGCGGGGGCGGGCTGGCGCACGCCGCTCACCGTGGGCTCGGCCGCGGCGACCCTGCGCGCCCTGAGGTCCGGCGTCTGGCTCATCCCCGCGAGTGCGCGTCCCGCGGTTCCGACTCAGCTGCTGCAGGAAGCGCCGCGGCACCCCGCCCACGGCGGGGAGGACCCGCACGCCCTGTCGAACCGCTCAAAGAGCGGCTACAGAACGAGAGGAACTGCCTGCAGCGTTAGAAACATTTATTTTCAAGAAATACTGCTTCACTGGTTTTGGGGTGCCGCACCTAGCGGTGCTCAGGGCTGACTCTGGGATCATTCCCGGCGGGCTCCGGGGACCATATGGGGTGCGGGAACCCTTGGCAGCGTGCTATGCAAGCGTCATGCCCGCTGTACTATCGCTCTGACCCCTTAATAGTTATTTTAAAAATATTTCCTTATGTGGCTTCGTGGGCTGGAGCGATAGCACAGCGGGTAGGGCGTTCGCCTTACACGCGGCCAATGTGGCTTCGTGTCTCCAACCCAGATGGCCTTTTCAAGAAGTCTCTCAGAGAACTTTGCAGAACTAGCTCCAGCCATCCAATGGGACCTGACCCTATCTCACTTTTCTCCTCTGTAGGCCCCAAATGCATGTTTAACATCCCTGCCGGTATGTGCGTGATCATTAGTGGTAGGAGTCTAGTCTGAGCGAGCCGGGAATACTGCGTGCTGGACCGTCCGCTCCGATGCCCACAGAGTCTTCCAGAGTCCCTCGGCCCTGTTGAACCCTGACACCAGGCCAGAGCGAGGACCGAGGACGGCGGGACCACGCTCTCCGGGGCAGTACCGGGCGCTCAACTGAGCTCCAGCGGGGCTCCACCAGGGTTCGCTCCTGAGCACAGAGCTAGATGGAGCCCCTGAACACTGTGCCCAAAAGTGATTGCAAATAACTTTATGAAATGCACATATGCAAATATGCTGGGCTTTTTCTATTTCTTCTTCTATTTTCACTGATTTGGAAAACTTGATATTCTGCTACAGAGCATCTCAAAATATTGAAAATAACAAATATGAGTATATCAGTATGCCTGAACGGACAAGAAAATCAAGCTTCAATTAAATTCCTTTTTTTGCAGTCCTAGGGATCAAACCCAGGCACGTGGGGCTGGAAATGGTAGGGCGTTTGCCTTGCACGTGGCCAACCAGGTTTCGATTCCCAGTATCCTATATGGTTCCCCAAACACTGCCAGGAAGTAATTCCTGAGTGCATGAGCCAGGAGTAACGAGAGAGAGAGAGAGAGAGAGAGAGAGAGAGAGAGAGAGAGAGAGAGAGAGAGAAAGAAAGACAACCCAGGCATGTGCTCTACCACAAAAGCCCTGCCCCAAACCAAGACCTCTTTATGGAAGAGCAGGTGAGAACCTTACAGGGTTGCCCTTGAAAAGAGAGGTGAGGGCATGTGGGGTCTAAGGCTCACAAGGAAATGTGTCTCAGCAACCTGGAGTTGGGAGGGATTCTGGGAAGAAGCTGAAACTTGCTCTGGACAGACAGTGTTGGCAAGTGGCAGGATGCCAGACAGGAGAAGTGCCTTTAACCCCAGCAAGATCCAGAGGCTTCCAGAGGGAAATGGGAATAGAAGAAAACCTTTGTTTCCTGGACCTTATCTCATTTATCTCTACCACCTGAAGAGGAAGAGAAAATGGTGATAAAAATCAACTTCATTTTGAATTGACTTTTGTGTAAGGCGTGAGATATGGATTCAACCTCATTTTTCAAAATGTGATTAACCAGTTTTCCCAGCACCATTTGTGGAAGAGGCTATCTTAACTCTATTTCAAGTACAAGCTCCTTTGTTTCCAATTAGTGGAGCATAGATTTTTCTCCTTCCTCTCCTTCGTCTCCTCCTCCTTCTTCTCCTTCTTCATTTTCTTCTCTTTATTTATTTTCATAAAAGTAGTTCACAGTAGTTCATTGCAGCATTGTAGCACTGTTCTCTCGTTGTTCATTGATTTGCTCTAGCAGGCACCAGTAACGTCTCACAACAAATTGTAAAACTTGTTGTTACTGGTTTTTTATTTTATTTTTTTTTTTGACATATCGAATACATCATGGGTAGCTTGCCAGGCCCTGCCATGTGGGTGGGATACTCTTGGTAGCTTGCAAGGCTCTCTGAGAGGGGCAGAGGAGTCGAACCTGGGTCAAAGGCAAACGACCTGCCCTCTGTGCTATGGCTCCAGCCCAGTTCATTACAGATAGTATTCAAACATCCATTTTCTTCTTGCCTTTGCTTTTTCCCTCTCTCCCTCATTCTTCTCTTTCCCCCTCCTTTGTATTTTTTCATCCAAATATCCTTTATTTTTATTTTTATGGGGTGGAGGTGAACTACACCCAGCAGTGCTCAGGGCTCTTTTCTCAGAAGTGACACCTGATGGGGCTTGGGTGATGATATGGAGTGATGGGACCAAAAGTCTGTCAGCAGCCGCAAGGCCAGTGTCTCACTCACCCAACTACTTGTCCAGCTTTCTTTTTTCCTTCTAAGAAGTTGCACGGAAGGCAGAGTGTGTGTCGAGTTCAAGCCCTGGCTTGGTCTTATGCCATGTTCTTCTCCCTGGGCTCAGTTTTGCTGCCCATGGATGACTGTTAGGAGCCTTCAATGCAAAGGGGACTGGGTGGCTCATTACCCCATAAAACACAAACACATACCCTCGGTGAGACAAATCATTGTCCCTTGAGTTCAGCAGCTATGAGCATCCCGAGATTTGCTGTGGTGAACACACGCAGTTTCCTTGAAACTCACCTCACAGATTTCCTCCATGTCCTCCTCCCCTCCCAGCTGCCACTGAAGCTGACGAGGAGGCCGAATGGAGCAGAGTGACAATGGATCTTACCTCAAGTCTTGTCTCAGGCCTGGCCCAGAGTTCTCAGACAGGCAACAGGGCACTCTCTCCCGAAGTAAGCCATGTTTGTATGATGCTATTGGGATCAGAGGCGGGTCTTTGCTCGTGTTGACACCTGCTGCACACCTGAGCCGCAGACTGCCATTCCTCTCTGACCTGTCCTGCTGTCCCTCCCATGGAGACCCTTAGGGGGACGCTCCTGAGCTGTGACTTGGCTGAGTCGCTCCAGATCTGCTCCTGCCTTTTTTCCTGCTCCACCAAAGCCTGGTCATCGAGTGAGTGTGCCCGTGGCACCACATCTAGAGTGTCCCCTCTGCAAGTCCTGGTGACCTTTGTAGACAGCCACTCTCAGGGGCCTGCTAGCCACTAGCTCTCCAGCCTCCTCGTGGCCTTCCCAGCTGGCACACATCATGATGGTGTGCTCAGGACTTGGTGCTCTGGGGACCATGCAGTGTGGGGGAGAGCACCTGAGTCTCCAGCAGACTCACATGTGGTCCCTAACCCTCTCCTCGACCCTGACTACAGTTTAAAAGGAAGTCACCATTCATGCAGTTTTTCTTATTTTCAGTATTTTTATTTATAGTACTGTAACTTACAAGACTGTCGACGACCGGGTTTCATGTGTACAACTTTCTAACTCCCTGCCCCTCGTCCAGCCCCACTCCTGGAGTGCCCCGTCCCGTTGATAATCTGCTTTGTCTTGTAGTGCGCAATTCTCTTCCTTGATTTGATATCTCTCAGAATCTGGTTCCCTGCAGGGAGAGGGTGCCCTGTCTATTGTCACAACATGCTCCCTTTTGCCAAGCACACTGCTGCCCAGGTTTGGCTGCAGAGAAGTACTTGCTCGGGATATCAGGGGCAGCTTGGAGGGGGAGGGTAGAGGGACTCACCTGCCCCAACAGAGCACTGGCAGACAAAAACCTCCAGAACTCATTCACTGCCATGCTCACAGCTGCTCTCCACAGGCTCGGACGAGCCTCACCCTGAGTGAATCTGCTGGAAAACTCTGGTATGTGGGTTTTATGACCAAATTCTCATGTTCTGCATCACTGATATACAGGAGTAGCACACCACGTTGGATGGGATGTAAAGTAGAAGGCGGCTCATCTCAACTAAAAAAAAAAAAAAATAAGAGGCACAAGAGGCTCAACCAGTATCAGCATGGTAGTAAAATCTCTTATACAAGGGCTCAAGGGCCCCAGGAGAGATACAACAATCTTCACACATTTTCTCCTAAGGAAACTTTTTTTGATCACTTTTAGCAGATTATTATTAACAAGCAACAGAAAATAAATTGTCTAGGGCCTGCTTTTGGGGTAGGCTTGGGTGGTGGTTGGGAAAATTCGAAATATTGGTGGTAGGAAGGTGTAATGGTGGTAGGATTGGTGCTGGAATATTGAATGTAATAAGTTATTGTGAACAGCTTTATAAAAATAAAATTAAGGGGCTGGAGTGATAGCCCAGCGGGTAGGATGTTTGCCTTGCATGCAGCCGACCTGGGTTCGATTCCCAGCATCCCATATTCCGAGCACCAGCAGGAGTAATTCCTGAGTGCAGAGCCAGGAGTAACCCCTGTGCATTGGCGGGTGTGATCCAAAGAGAAAAAAAAAAGTACTTGCTTAGTGTATACAGGAGCCCCAGGTTCAACCCCCAGCACTCTGAGCACTGCTGGGAGCAAACCCTGAGCACCACTGGGTGTGACCCCAAAACAAACAGACAAAAGTATGTTTGCTCAGTAAAACAGTGTCCAAGGGCAGGAACAAACATTTGCTCAGTCCTGCCCTGCCAAGCCCATCCCACTAGGACTTTACTTCCTCTTCTGTGCACTTATGAGTTATATGTTGTACCTTTCCAATTTCTTTTTTTCGTCTTATTTAAACACTGTGGTTTACAAAGTTGTACATAATGATTTGTTATAGGCATTCAATATTCCAACCCCAACCCCACCACCTCTGTGACCTTCCCTCCACCACTGTCCCCAGTTTTTCAGTCATTCTTCAAGCCTGTCCCCATAGCAGGCCCCAAATAATTTATTCTATATTGCTTGTAATCATTTAATGGATAATGGAGTTATAAAAAAAATTTCAGTAAAAGAAAAATTCTCAACAATTGGGACATTAAGTCCTTGTCTGAGGGTTTTCTAAGCTCTTCTTGCTATTTTGGGAATGGGGGTGGGCCATATGTGAAGGTGCTCAGGGGTTACTCCTGGCTGTGCACTCAGAAATTAATCCTGGTGATGTTCGAGGGATTTCTGGAATTGAACCCAAGTA